ATAGAGACCAAACACAAGTAAGGAGATTGAAACAGTAATCAAAAGCCTCCCAAAAATAAAAGGCCAGGAAAAGATAGCTTCTCAGGAGAATTCTACCAAAGATTCAAAGATTGAATAGCTATCCTTCTCAAACTATTCCAAAAAATTGAAGAAAATGGAACACTTCCTAACTCATTCTATGAGACCAACATCACCCTGATCCCAAAGCCAGACAAGGACAACACGAAGAAGGAAAATTACAGGCCAATATCTCTGAGGAACATAGATTCAAAAATCCTCAACAAAATATTGGCAAACTGAATACAGCAATACATTAAAAGGATCATACGCCATGATCAAGTGGGATTCATACCAGGGATACAGGGATAGTTCAACATCTGCAAATCAATCAATGTGATACACCATATCAACAAAATGAGAAATAAAAATCACATGGTCATCTCAATAGATGCAGAGAAAGGATTTGACAAGATCCAACATCCATTTGTGTTAAAAATTCTCAATACAATGGGTTTAGAAGGAAAGTACCTTAACATAATAAAGACCTTATATGATAAACCCACAGCCAATATCATCCTTAAGGGTGAAAAACTGAAAGGGATGGCTTTCCTCTGGGGACAGGAAGAAGAAAAGGGTGCCCATTCTTGCCACCCTTATTCAACATAGTATGGGAGGTTTTGGCAATTAGACAAGAAAAAGAAATAAAAGGTATCCGAATTAGCAAAGAAGTGAAACTGTTGCTGTTTGCAGATGACATGATTCTATGTATAGAAAACCCCAAAGAATCCACTAGAAAACTGTTAGAAACAATCAGTTACTAAAGCAAAGTTGCAGGGCACAAAATCAACTTAGAAAAATCAGTTGCATTTCTATACTCTAATAAGAAACTAACAGAGTACTCCAGAATACAATCCCATTTATAATCGCAACAAAAATAATACAATATCTAGGAATAAATTTAACCAAAGAGGTGAAAGACCTATGCAATGAAATGTATAAAACATTATTGAAAGAAATCAATGATGACATAAAGAAATGAAAAGATGTTCCATGCACATGGATTGGAAGAATAAACATAATTAAAACATCCATATTACCCAAAGCAATCTACAGATTCAATGCAATCCCAATCAGAATCCCAATGACGTTCTTCACAGAAATGGAACAAAGAATGCTAAAATTCACATGTAGCAACAAAAGACCCTGAAAATAGCCAAAGCAATTCTGAGAAAAAAGAACAAAGCTGGAGGCATCACAATCCCCAACTTCAAAATATACTATGAAGTTATAGTAATCAAAACAGCATGGTACTTGTACAAAAACAGACACACAGAACAATGGAACAGAATTGAAATCCCAGAAATAAAACCACACAAATATAGACAGCTAATCTTTGACAAAGGAGCCAAGAACATACAATGAAGAAAGGAAAGTCTCTTCAATAAACGGTGTTGGGAAAACTGGACAGGCACATGCAAAAGAGTGAAAGTAGACCATTATCTTACGCCATACACAAAACTTAACTCAAAATGGATTAAAGACTTGAAGGTAAGACCTGAAACCATAAAACTCCTAGAATAAAATAAGATGGTACGCTCTTTGACATGGTTCTTAGAAGGATCTTTTCAAATACCATGTCTACTCAGGCAAGGGAAACAAAAGAAAAAATAAACAAATGGGACTACATAAGACTAAAGAGCTTTTGCAAGGCAAAGGAAACCAGGAACAAAATGTACAGACAACCCACCACCTGAAAGAAATCATTTGCAAATCATATATCCGACAAGGGGTTATACTCCAAAACACATACAGAACTCATACAACTCAAAAACAAAAAAGCAAACAACCTGATTGAAAAATGGGCAGAGTCTACGAACAGACATTTTTCCAAAGAAGATATACAGATGGCCAACAGGCTCATGAAAAGATGTTCAACATCACTAATCATTAGGGAAATGCAAATCAAAAGTACAATGAGATATCACCTTATAGAATGGCTATAGTTACCAAGAAATATAATAACAAATGTGGAAGAGGACGTGGAGAAAAGGGAACCCTCATACACTGCTGGGGGAATGCAAACTGGTGCAGCCACTAGGGAAAACGTATGGAGATTTCTCAGAAATTAAAAACATAAATACCATATGACCCAGCTATCCCACCGCTGGGTATTTATCCAAAGAACTTGAAATCAACTATTCAAAGAGACATATGCACTCTTATGTTCATTGCAACATTATTCACAACAGCCAAGAGGTGGAAGCAACCCAAGCGTCCTTCTACGGACGAATGGATAAGGAAGATGTGGTATATATATGTATACAATGAAATACTACTCAGCCACTAAAAAAGACAAAATTGTCCCATTTGCAATGACCTGGATGGACCCGGAGGGTACTATGTTAAGCGAAATAAGCCAGACAGAGAAAGACAAACACTGCATATTTCATTCATATATAGAAGAAAAACAAACACATGGACAAAGAGAACAGATTAGTGAGTGGTTACCAGAGGGGAAAGGGGTTGGGGGTGGGCACAAGGGGTAAAGGGGCATATATATACATGGTGACTGACAAACAATAAAGTACACCTGGAATTTCACAGTGTTATAAACTACTATGACCTCAATAAAATTAAAAAAAAAAAAGAAACGGTGACACAGAACGCCATGCGGGGAGGAAAAGTGCATTAAAGAGGGTGCTTGCAATTATTTAAAGTGTAGCTGCATAGAGTGTGGACTCATTCAGTGCCTTCTGTGCTGCTCGGGCAGCAGCCTGGCATTCTACTGTATCGGGATTTCCCAAATTTCCCTCAAGTGTTCTTTGTAGATGATGTCTCCCAGACAGCCTAGGAGCAGAGACTGTTTCCTAATCACCTCTGTATCTCTGGTGTCTAACATATTCCCAGGTCCCACAGACTCTTTTAGTAAATGTTGGCTTATGGTAAATAGCTCTTGGCATTTTGAATGATTTTCTTTTCTAAAGAGTGACTTCTTAACTCTCATATCTGTAGAGACCAGACTAAAAGATCTGTACTAGTGACAGGGAAAATACAATAAGGTTGATCGTTAAAAAGAAAGCTTGTTGAGTGTCCTAAGTTTCATCCTTAATCTTTTCACTTTCTTGTGATATAACCTTGATCTTGTGCATTATGGTCCAAATTAAAAATGGAAAGCAAAAGGCCTTGTTCCTTAATGCTCACTCAGAGCTCATGTTTATAAAAAGCTTCCCATGTTGGTTTTTCTTTTTTCTTTGTTCGCCTAATCTACCACCTTGTGTTTGGTTTTGAAACTGCAATTCTCTACGCATACACCTACGTGCAACATCCTTTCACAGGATTTCCTTCTGTAACTTGAGAAAACTTAAGATGCTTTGAAAGTGAACTTCAGAAATATCACGTGTTCATAATCCAGCCCTTGTAACTTCAACTATAGCTGGAAAAATAGGAAAGTGAAGAGACCGCTGATCAATCAAATAATAACAACTAAACTTTGTGGAGTTTTTGCTGCATGCCAGGTACTGTTCAAATAGATTACAAACATTGCCTCAGAAAAAAAAATACAAGAGCAAGAATGTGGAGAAACTGGAACCCTTGTGCACTGTTGGTAAGAATGTAAAATGGTGCACTGCTATTAAAAAATTAACAATAGAATTACCATACGATCCAGCAATCTCACTTTGGGGTATATATCCAAAAGAATGGAAATCCAGATCTAGAAGAGATATTTGCACACTCATGTTCACTGAAGCATTATTCACAATAGCTAGGAGGTAGAAGCAACCCAAACGTCCATTGATGGATGAATGGACAAACAAAATGATGTATATACATACAATGGAATATTCTTCAGTGGTAGAAAGGAAAAATATTCTGACACATGCTACAACGTGGATGAACCTTAAAGACTATGCTAGGTGAAAGAAGCCAAACACAAAAGGACAAATATGCATGATTCTACTTATATGAGGTACCTAGAGACAGAAAGTAAAATGCCAGCAGCTGAGGGGCATTTAGAGAATGGGGGTTGTTGCTTAGTGGGTGTAGAGTTTCAATTCGGGAAAATGAAGTTCTGAAAGTGGATGGTGGTGTAGTTGCACAACAGTAGAAATGTACTTAACGCCATTGAACTGTACACTTAAAAATGGTCAAAATGGGGGGCCGGCCTGGTGGCATACTGGTTAAGTTTGTGCGCTCTGCCTCAGCAGCCTGGAGTTCACAGGTTCGGATCCCGGGCACAGAACTAGTGCCACTCGCCAAGCCACGCTGTGGCAGCATCGCACATAAAAAATAGAGGAAGATTGGCACAGATGTTAGCTCAGTGCCAATCTTGCTCACACACAAAAAAAGTGGTTAAAATGGTAAATTTTATATTATGTATATTTTGCTGCAATTTAAAAAAGTCATGTAAAGAATCATTCATGTGCAGACCCAAGACTGTACTTGTGGGGCTATCAGTCTTCCTTTTTTTTTTTTTTTTTTTGAGGAAGATTAGCCCTGAGCTAACTACTGCCAGTCCTCCTCCTTTTGCTGAGGAAGCCTGGCCCTGAGCTAACCTCCGTGCCCATCTTCCTCTACTTTATACGTGGGACACCTACCACAGCATGGCATGCCAAGCGGTGCCATGTCCGCACCCGGGATTCGAACAGGCGAAACCCGGACGCCGAGAAGTGGAACGTGTGAACTTAACCGCTGTGCCACCAGGCCGCCCCCTGGTCTTCCTTTTTTTAACCTGTGTTAATAAAATCTACATACGTTAAAAAAAAATTAAAAAACAAACAAATGAGGTAGTGTGGTAAACCAAATTCTTTGCTGCTCCTTCAATTAAGAGGAGGAGTCTTATTCTTCTCCCCTTGAATTGGGGCTGGCTTAGTGGCTTCCCTGACTAACAGAATGTGGCACTTCTAAGGCTAAACATAAGAAGTCCTGTCGCGTAGCTTCCTCCTCTACTGCTTGGAACTGCTTGCTCTCTGCACTCTCTAACTCTGAGTATTCCCTATCAGAACCCAAGCACTTTCCTGTGAGAAACCTAAACCAGAGGGAGAGGCCGCGTGCGGGCAATCTTGATGGAGCTAGAGGACTTCCAGCCTAAACTGCCAGTAACCTAACATCCATTTGAGCCTGAAGTTAACTGCAGTCTCAGCTGACATCTGACTGAAAATACCCAAGACACCTCAAGCTAGAACTGCCCAGCTGAGTCCAATCAACCCATAGAATGATGACAGATCACAACAGATTGTTATATTAAGCCAATAAATTCTTCAGTAGTTTGTTATGTAGGTACCATAATAATGCCCATTTTTCCTTGACAAACCTGAAGCTTAGTTGAAGTGCTTGCCCATAGTCTTTCTGCCAGTGCATGGAGGAACTCACACTTGAACCAGATCTTTCTGGTTCTAAAGCCTACATTGCTGACCACTAAATACACAGTTTCTCACTCAAAACAGCTGTAATAGGATTTTTTCTTCAAAAACCCTGTAGTTAAATTCATAGTTGAGTCTTCCCACATTACTCAACTCCAAGGGTAATGACACCAACGTGCATGGCGGCCCCTCTACTTGTGCAGTGCACAGGCCCCATAGCCATAGAAGTGACCCAACAAACCCCAACCCCAATCCTCAAGCAGACCCTGTTCTGTTAAACGTCAGACCTTCTAAAAAAGGGATTATCTGTCATCCAAGGGCCTAAGAAGTTTCAAGGGAGAAAAGAGGCTTGTGCTAGAACCTATGAGAGCATGAGAAGTAAGAAGTATTTAAAAATTTCACTAAAAAGTGGGGATTAAGAATTCAAAAGATCTCACAGTGGTTTGGGGCCATTTAGTGTAGGGCAAATTTCTCTGTAGAGCTCTGTAGAGCTCAGAGCCCCCCTCATGATGCTGTATGAGGGTGTGGAACACTAACTCAGGACCCTAATGAAAATCCACATCACCAGGGAACAAAAAAATCTTGGAGATAAAGGGACGCACCTTATATATTCTACCTAAAAACGTTTAAACTAGTTTTATGCCTCATTATACACAGCTGGTGCTCATAGCGCTCAGAATCTCTCTTTAGCGTTTACTATAATGATTTGTAGGAATGTTTTTGCTTCTCTTTCTAAACTTAAAGTAGGAAACATATCTTATTTGTATTTCTAGCCCCACCTTAGTGCTTTTTACCAAAGGAGGAATACTAATCAAATGAAGGAATATATTCAATTAAAGATTCAAACCAATTACACTGAAATAAACCTTATCACGTGCCTTCTATCTATGCCAAGCCCAGTGCTAGACTTTCCTATACAATTCCTATTTCTTCTTCAGAACAATCTAAGAAACAGAAAAAGCCAAGAAATTGCTTCATTTAAGTTCAAATATGAAAGAAATTGACAAAAGCAAGTAACATGGGAATAGGAATTTATCTTCCCTTACAAGAAGAATGTAATATGAAAGCTGCAATTAAGGTGAATAGTACATAAACATGATGAGGTTTTGTTGCTGTTGTCGTTGTTTTGATTTTCTTCTCAGAACCCCACATCAAGATATATGGTTTGACATATGGAATGAAATGGCTAGAACTGTGACTGCCTAAGGCAAGCTGAAACCTGTGGCACCAAACCATAGTAGAGAAGGAGGGAAAACCAGTAGGTTTGATATCAATCAAGAAAAGAATATGAAGGACCAGGGGAACCCAAGCCACCGTCAGTCCTTTGTACAGGAGAATCGTCTAGTCACCCGTGTCTTGTCAAATCGTGTCTTATGTAGCTTCAATGCACACTAATGCACACTAAGTTTCCTAAGAGGTATTTGTATCATTTCAACACAGATATTTTGCCCATTTTAATTAAATGTATTATAGGGGCAAGAAGGCAGGATCTGGAGGGTAAAAGATCTGGGTTTCAGTCCAGCTGTGTGACATTGAACAAATCATACCTCTGAAGATGGTTTTCATCCCTCAAAAACAAAAACGATTAAGCTGAATCCTGCCCATATGTCAGAGTGCTAGGGAGTTTTTCATGAGACACTGATGTGAAAGCCCTTCGGAAACGTTAAAATACGTTAATTACCTGCACAGAGTTCCAAATGTAGAGAAGAGCTGATTTAACATTATCATCTTACTGCCCTCCCTACCCCTCAACCTAAAGAAAAAGAAAAAAAGTTTTCTGTTTTTAGCTGGGTGAATTCCAACAACGTCTCTATGGGAACCGGGCCACTTTGCAAATGACAAACTCGAGGTCCCAAGGCTTATCCAAGGCCAAAGAGCATCAGCGGAGCCAAACACAAAACCACAAACTCTTGGATCAAACACAGCACTTCCGGCGCGGCGACGCCGTTACGTAAAAGCAAGCCCAGCCCCAGCCCTTCCCGAAACGCCACGCTTAACATGGCTGCCGTGTCTCGACGCCTCCTTCCCACACTCAACATGGACGCGGGGTGCGGGCCCGGCCCCGGAAGATATCTCTCCGGAAATGCCCGAGCGGCGGCGGAAGCGGAAGCGGCTCGGCGGTGGGGGCCGTGGGAAGTGTCTGTCGCGTTTCTCCCTCCCTCTCAACCACAATAACAGACGGAGGGCCGGCGTAGGTGAGGCGGCGGCCGAGGGCCGGGGGGCCGTGCGGCGGGGCGGAGGAGGCCGGATGGGGGCTTCGGGGCTCCCGACCGCCTGGGCTCTGGATCTCGGGCCTTCTTCGGGCCTAGAGCTCCCGGGAGAGAGAGATTGGGCTTGTGGTTCTTGGCCTTTTAGGCCCTGGTTGCGGGGTTTGCCACCCTGTCTGAACCTGGCCCCGGATTCCAGTATACAGAACCCCTTCTGGGCCTCGCTTTCCTCAACACAATGGGGGGTTTGGCCTGGGTACCTTCTGGGACCCCATCCCACTCCGGGCTTCAAGAATTCCACGATTTTAACGTAAGTCAGTGTTTAAGGCAGTAAATTGAGGAAGGCCTGTAGTCAGCGTACTGAGGGGATGTCCCTGAGTAAGACGCCGTGAATACTACGTCTTTGAGAGGCCGCCAGCCCTGGGATCAGGAGCCACATTTTCTAGTCTTTCCTCATTCACCGACGCACTGTGTGACCTTGTCTAAGTCCATTACCCTCTCTATGCCACAATTTGCGTATCTGTAAAATGAATGTATTGGATGCCTCTGATGCCCCTCGCCCTGAAAATCTGATTCCAAACTCCCTTACAAAAAGTCTTTCCTTAGAGACAGACCTGAAAAGCATGTCTTCCCTGCATCCTGCATAGCCAGGAGTTGACTGACAAGAGATGTGTACCATGTTCCTTTCCAGACACCAAGCCGGCCAAGGGCAGGCAGCTGGGCACTTGGGAAGATTCTTGTGCTTCCTGTGCAGTGGGAAGCTCCGTCCCAAAGCCTTTGTTATATAAACCCACACCAGCCGTGTAAAACACCCCACTGTGAAAAATAGACCTTGTTTTTTATCCTAAAGCTGCTGTCAGCTTGCTGGTTCTCTTTGAGCAAATCCTTTCCTCTCTCTGGATTTAAGATTTCTCATCTGTCAAATAAAGGAGCTGGATTAGGTCACTCGTTCTTAATTCCCTTTCCCATCCTCCCAGCACAACTGAAGAATAAAATAACGGCTCTATAAGGCCATGATTTTCTCGGTGAGGGAAAAGGTGGAATGTGGAGGGTACGTATTATGTATCTAGTTGTATAGGCTGAAAAATCTGTGCTTGTAATTTTTAAGTTTCTTTTTGACAATTACTGGTTTAGGTGATCCCTAAGTCTCCCTCCCTCTCTAAAATTTGTGATGCTGTAATTCTAATGCACCCTTTGGGTAAAGAATATAGACGTTTTTATGTGTGTTTGTTTAAATGACTGTGTGCCTAGGGGTACACACTTTAGGAACAAAGATACTAAGGCATAGAATAGGAGAAAAAGGAAAAACCAGATTTCAGTAAGGTACAGCGATAGAGTGAAATGAAATTGGACTGGAACTGGAGTTGAAGACCCGAATCCTTGCTTCAGCTCTGGTACTTTCTGGCTCTGTAATTTTGGACAAACCAGCTTACCTCTCTGGGCCTCCGTTTCCTTATCTGGAAAATGAAGAGTTGGACTGAATGATTCCTAGATGCTTTCAGCACTGTAATTCTGGGAGGTTTTTTTGCCTATTTATTTATCTGAACAGCTTGGTGGGTGTGGTGGGCGTTTCTTGAGGCAAGAGAGGCCGTCCTCCTGTCGTAGATGTACAACATCTGTGATGTGAGGAATGGGGTCATGTTAAGTGACATGCATGATTACTTTGTTATGAGCAAGCTGAAGCCATAGGAGCTAAAAAAAGGCATTAGAAACCTGAAGGGCAGGGAAGCCCTTGACCCTAGGATGATTGAGGACATTGGGAAGTTTTAAATGGAAGAGAGCTATTTTTGGTGAGGGTAGTGAGAGGTAATTTAGGTTTTAGTAGTTGAAATGACTGACTTGTAAGAAACTGGTGGTGGAATCTGTCTCCACTCTGAGACTGTGAACTTATGGGAAGAAAGACTGTCACCGCCTAGCACTTAGTAGGCAGTAAATAAATAATTGAGTGAGGGAATGGATGGATGGGTGAATAGATAATAATCAGGAAAAGAATGAGTTTCTCCAGAGAATTGTTATTAATTAGATATAGAATGAAAAATTGATTCAGAATTGTGAAAATTTTATAAGAGGTCCCTAAGGTTTCTGGTTAGTTGTAAGAAAAGTTGGTTCATCTCTGCCCTATAAAGTGTGTTAATAAGAGACAAACACATACTCTGGAGGGCCTGGTGTGATCCTAGGAAGGGAGTAATTGGTAGAATAAGTCAGGGATGGAGGAGGATGTTGACAGGATGGAACAGGTATAGGAAGATTTTTAGTTGTGACATTTAGGGAGTAAAGGAATGGATTTATATACGATTTTTGTAGGTATCAGCAGTTGTCAGCATTGTGGGCAATGTGTTAAAACCTATATCGTGGAAATAGAGGATTAAAGGGAAAATAACGTGATTTTGCAAGCGAGGAAATATTGGCGCTATCTTACAAGAGGTGGAGATAACTATGGAGGTTAAGGATGAAAAGATAAGGATAAAGTTGAGAGCAAGCAGGAGGAATTGAATTAGTAGAGGATAGTGTTGTTTTGTTTGGAATGGGAGGAGATTTGAACTGGCAGGTTGGAAGAAGAGCATGCCTAAGAGAAATTATGTTGTGGAAGGACCCTGATTTAAAGAATACTAACAGACAATTCAGGCTTGTTACTTAGAATGTATGGGCTGCCAGGGCAAAAATGATGCTTCCTGTGGCTAAGGTCTGCTAAACAGAGTCACAGGATGACTGGAGGATCCC